TAGCTGCATAACAAGTGACAAAAAAAACTTATGTTTTTTCTTTTTACTAGTGGCTAAAGATAAGTAATATGGCACAACACTGCTGCCTAGATAAATTTAAATGAGTTAAGCAAGTTTGGTGCTGCTAGCCTACTATATTTCTGCCTTAACCCTTTACAAACTTGGATGGATAGGCCTGACTCAAAAAATGAAGAATTATTTCATGTACAAAAAACAAGACATGTCACAATTTAACCTTTAATCAATTGTGAAAATTCCAGCACTAATACTTACTTCAGACACAACATCAGTTCTAGCTCCATTAGTTAATAAAATATCAACAGCTTCAATGCTACCACTATTAACAGCATTAAACAAAGGAGTTCTCTTCCTCTATAAATACAAAACAAAAAGATACAATTAAAATTAATTGATTATTTAATTACTTTACCTTATCAACAGCATCCACAACAGCTTTTTTATTAGTTATTAATAATTGCATCATATTTGCATTGCCAGTTTTACTAGCACAGTGTAATGGAGTACCATCATACTATATAAATAGTAAAATAAATTACAATGAATTAAGTTACTAGTACACAAAATCAAGTGTACAATATTTTATTGATGGGTGTGTGGGTTAATGAATATGAATCAATGGTTCAAGGATGTCACCTCTTAGTGACTCAATAAATGAAGAATCATTTTGGGTACAAGAAGACATGATTGCTACCAAGCACACATAATGCATGTCACAATTTAATTTTTGATCAATTGTGAAAGTGCCAACACTAATACTTACTTCAGACACAACATCAGTTTTAGCTCCATTAGTTAATAGAATATCAACAGCTTCAACACTACCACTCTCAATAGCATGAAACAAAGGAGTTCTTTTCCTCTATAAATACAAAATAAAATGATACATTTAGAAATGATTAGTTTTAATAACTTTACCTCATCCACGGCATTCACATCAGCATTTCCTTTAGTTATTAATAACTTGATAATATTAGCATCCCCAGTTTCACTAGCATGGTGCAAGGGAGTACCTTTATACTATATTAAAACAATTATTTATGATCATAAATAATAAAAAACAGATACATAAAAGTTGTCAGTTGAGTAACTTACTAAAGCAAGTGCTAATAATGTGTGTATATAAGTAATGTATGGGTACGATTATACATGCAGACCATATGGTTGGTGGGGTATTGATTTTTGTCTATTTCACAGTTCATTTATATTGCAAAAATTTTAACCCCTACCACTCACACATAAAAAACTAACTACCAGGCTATGCAAAGCTCTAAATACTATTTTCAAGCCAGTGAAGAAGCCAGAATCTTAATCTATTACCCCATTTTTCAATATAAGCCATGTATCAGTGCTGTAGAAGTGAAAAAAGAAGTTTACTAGAGCCACAAATATTTGTACCTAAGAATATTTACTTCTAAGGAAATTTTGGAGAAATATTGGACATTTGAAAATTACTATACCAAAATTATGGTACATTAAAATTATGAATGCATAGTTTTGATGCCAATAATCCTTTTAAAAAGCTAAACTGTTCAATCTTTTTAAAAAAAATGGTGCACTGGCTGTTATATAACTACATGCATGTATACTGGCAACTTACAGTATCAAAACCAATATTAGGATCAGCTCCTTTTTCAAGTAGCACATCAACAACTCCAATGTTATTCTTCTCAATGGCTACAATAAGAGCAGGATTACTACCAGATTTATACTATTGTAGCAATGAATTAAAAAATACAGTATATACAGCTACAAACCTTAGTAGCATTGGGATTAGCTCCTTTCTCCAGTAACAATTTAACAATATCAGTATTACCTTTTTCAATGGCCATAATAAGAGCAGGAGTGCCACCAAATGAATGCTATTATAACAAATTAGAATACTACAGTATACATGCACTGTAGCTACAAACCTTAGTAACATTAGGATCAGCTCCAGCTTCAAGTAGACCAATAACCTCCTCAGGTTTAGTATCAGATTCTATAGACTTGATTAAATCTCTTCCCTACATATGTAATTACATGTAAAGCTAATATACAATTTATCATCTTACCAGACTGGAACTTTTCACTTCTTTCCCAATTGATGCAGTCTCGGGCCTCTGTTTAAAAAGAGATAATTATAGTTGTACATGTATATTAATTTGGCTTCACTTGTATATAAAATTAAGATTAAGGTATTTCCTCATTTACACAATAAAGACTATCAATACATTGCAATCATGGAATCACCAGTATTAAGAGCCACCAAATATTGCCACTATATTTATGTCTCTTTGTATGACCTACATTTTGCCATGCAATGTAGTACAAAGCTCAGTATAAACAGTACTACTTA